ACCTTCATCCCAAGTGCCAGCTCGAGGCAGGACTCGTAGCGTCGAGCGTAAACAAATCCGATCCTCAAAGTATATGGGAATACTAGGTTCTGTCGCGACGCAAAAGTTCCTCAAATTTATTCCTGGCGACGCGAACCGCTCAGTTTGTATCTTAGTTACGGGGTTCCGGGTGACCAGGTTGACCGGGTTACCCCAAACGTTGAGTTTGTTCTTCTTCGAGGTGGCGTTATCGGTGATCGCACAGTCGTCCCCGCTGACATCACCGTGCCAATGATTTTGGACTGAACGAGGATGAAGTTGGTGATGCGATTAGCGGCGACACGTCGGGCACGATGCGATTTCGTCAACATGTTTACTGGCTTGGTCGGGGGGGCCAATCGGACGTCGATTCTAAAATGTTAACGACAGCAAGCGTCGTTTCCATTCTCCACCTTCTTAGGTTCGTTGCCGTCGTCGTGGCGACCGGAGCGACGACGCTTCAGAATTTATCAGGCCACGAAATACGTGAGTGCTCGCGACAAGGATTCCCGTCTCCTGGACAAACATACGGGAATCGATTGAAAGTAGCCGCAAAGTGTCGAGGACGTTGACGCGGAGTAAGGATGTACCGCGACAGTCGCAGCTGTGGAAACTGCACGACGGTGTTTAATCGTAGCCGTTGAAAGCCCTTTCGCAGTACGGGCGGGAGAAGAGGAGCCGTCGGAAGTGGCGAATGCCCGTGTAAGCGAGAGCCGTCGTCTTTTCGCGTTACGTGTATATCCGCCTTTACGCGGTCTTGCAGCTCCGGTGGCTTAATCCGCTGATTTTCGAGACTGCTGAAATGGAGAAAAAAGAATTGCAAGAGAGAACCGAGAAGAAAATAAGAGCAGAAGCGCCCGAGATTAAGCCTCGTGGTACGGTAGGTACTAATGGAGAAACTGACTCAACGACTACTCGGTCGGTAAAGTCGGGCGCGATTATTACTCGGTCGTAAACAGCGCGTGTCCGGGGGACTAATGGTATCCTGGGAGCCTATTAGCTCGACGACTGGATGGCCGTAGCGTGAATTCCGACAGAGTCCCATACACTCGCGGGAGACGTGTGTCGCTTGGAAAACGCATTCAAGATCTCTCGACTGTTTGTTATTGGGACGTACAGTGGCGCCGGCGGGGGGGCGGCTGGCTGCCTGATGTCTTTAGGACTGTCAGTACCCAACATGTGCTCGGATCGTCGTCCCCACCGCCCGGGCGCTCTCGGCTGTATCTCAGGGACTTGATAAGATTAAAAGTATAAGCCTCCATTAAAATTTATGTAGTTGTTTATCCGACTACGGTGTACATCCAATGCGCGCAGTTCTAGCCGAGTCGTCACGGCGCGAAGACATGGCTCTCTTATTACGTAGTCTTTGGCAAGGACTGTACACCACGGGCAGCGCTGCTATTGGACTTCATCCCGCTCGCTTTGCCTCTACGTCAGACGAACCGTGGTGGCATGGCTCTGATATTATTATTATCTCCGATCTTGTTTACTAAACGCGAAAACTATTACCGCACGTGTAATACCTTACTTAATGCCGACTGGGAGACTGAAGATAAAAATGTTCTAGAGTTGGAAAGTAAAAGGATAGAGGGGGACGGGGAGGAAATTGGATGATTTTCTTTCTTTTTTTTAATTTTACTTAATGCATTTCGATGCCTCGTTTCTCTTTATTGTCCTTTCTTTTTCTTTTCATTTCCATTCTTTCGTAACAGGCACGAGCGATCGCACAGTTTTACGGGCGTGCCTGCAATTTCGTAGCAGCCGTCGCTGAATCTAGTCACGCGTGTTACGCACGTTCTCTGTGCCCGTTCGACATGGTCTCTCTCTGTGCTAGGACGCTGTTATTATTCCACGGGCAGCTCCGTCAGTCTCCATTCCGTTGACCACGTTCGTTTCTGCTGGAGGATGTTGCGCGCACGTCTATTGTCTTTTTTTGGCCAAGGCACGGGAGAAGTGAGGTTAGGCCACTTTCGACATTGTGTTTCCTCTAACGGTATACAACCCAGACGGGCGTGACGTCACCCTGAGGATTTTTCTGATACCCCGACGGTCTCCGGGCGGGCTGCTTCGCTTTACGAAATGCGCCTGGATCTCGCTATTAATATTTGCCACTGGATCCTTCCCGAGCTTCGGCTAGGCGCTCGATCCGACCCTGCGCGCACGTGTCTCGCCCTACGTTCGCCTAATCCGGACGGTTTATCGGAATTTTTCGAAAGTCTCCGACCCGTAACAGACTCGCACGCCTCCTTCGAAGTGGCGCCAGTTTTCGTAACTATAAATCTGTCGATGTAACAAACGTGCCTGGAGCCTCGGGCGATGCAGCCTTTACGCTCAGCCAGGTTGACAACTTTTCGGCTTCGTATACGAACTTCCGCCATTAGCGATCCCCCCCTTTAGCTTTGAGTTTCCTTCGAGGAACTTTCGTACCCCCCGCCCTCAATATCTTCCTTACGCGTCGCTTCGCGTCTTCTACACATTTTTGTAGCAACGTAGAGGCTTCCTGCTTTCGAGTTATCCTTTGTTTCCTTGAATGCCTCATTGCTTCTCTAGTTCGCTGGGGTTTCTGCGCAGGCCCTGAGCCAACTAGACCTGCCAACACGGTCGCTTGAGAAGCCTCACAGTTGACGCCGGTCGTTCGCTGTTTTCAAAGTCGTCCGCACCCCCGCGACAAGTCTGCGCCTGTTTCGGCTGTCGAGTTGCGTACGGGACTTACTGAGTCATACTTGTCGAAGAAACAAGCCCTGCGGTTGTTTTTATTTTCTTTGCTAATATTCCATCGTGGTTCCTCGTGGCCACGTTAACCTGTTACAACGTAGCGGCGACAGAACAATTTGTCTCTCTATCCCGATTCGCTCTTCCGGTCCGATCCATTCGAAATACGTTTCGAAAGAGTAATGAAGCAAGGTCCACGATTTTTCTTTTCTTCCAATGAAGTTGTCTCCTAGCTTCTTCCGTTGCGCAAGAGCGACGTTGCCACCTGTTGCCAGCGCGCGAACTAAAGTCCCACAGTCTATACAGGGCGGTACACCCCAAGCCGAACGCGTAAATATCTCCTTTGAATTTTCTCTCAGCCAATTTGCTCTTCGGACTTGACACCAGCAATCTATACAAGCAAGGGACACGTATGGCCGTTCGGTTTCAAGTGGGTCACCCTGTACAGAATCTTAGAATTGACCTGCGATTCGCTATGCGAACTGCTTGTTTGGGCTTATTGATCTTGTGACACGTGGGTTTCCACATCGCTGACGTACATATGTATATCACTTGTCAAACTTTTGGGCAGATACAAGTCCTATTTAACGCTTTCACGGTACAGGCGCACCTGACTAACACTCTACTCGCAATCTATATTTTGTATTTTTTTTTAAACTTCTCACGTGACCTACCAGCTCACTCTCCTTCGATCCTACAGGGTCTTTCAAATTCAGCCGCGCCCCGGCGTCGGCTGATTTCACGCCTGCCAACCCTCTGCGATGTACGAGGGTCGTGACGCGTGTCTTTTTCCCGGGGATTATTTTGCCCTCGTTCCTCCACCCTGAAGTCTCTTTGTCCTCTTCCTGTCGTTCAAAAGTCACTGCGACTAGATCTTTTGATATTTCACCTGCGAGCTGGCGTTTCATTACTACTTTTTTTTTTTCCGTTTCCCTTCGCTTCTTCCCGTATCCTTTGGAACCGCTTGCACCGAAGCGAAATTTCACGTAGAAAGGACTCGAAGGATATTTCTCGTCAATGTTAATATTTCTCTCGCGAGCGAAAGTCGTACCTGTCCGATTGAAATGTTATTTGCTCGGGGTCGCCGAACCACCTCTACAAGGACAGTGCGTGCAACAGATCGTTCCGCTGCGAACGCTGCTTCACCTTATCGATTCTCATACGCTGCTCTCTCTCGTCTCTCTCTCTCTCTGGCTCAGCACTCTTTTAGAAAAGTTCATTAACCCTATAACCGTCACACTTTTCCAGGTTAGGAAACACCGATATAACATATCATCGGCAATATAGCATATCGCTATATACGTAATTATCAATTTTATGTTATTTCCTATTTTTTTTGTCTACAACTTTTTGTTATCCCAACCGTTCACTCTCGCCGCTCCGTTATTCGCGCTGTCTCCGTCTCACGCAGCCCTGACCAAGTCAACAGGAAAATCCAGTCACGCGTCGGTTCGTTAACAGGAAGAAAAAGTTTCTTCGTCTATCGATTTAAACAGCTTTAATTTTATAACCGATCGACCGGAGCCAATCATTTTTCTCATTGCCGCGACCCGAGTCAATATTTTTCACGAAATTCGTTATATTATCGTCGATCGAATGACGCATGACGTAACGCAAATAATCAATTACAAGAATTTCGTTCGATCGAACACGCGACTTCCCGCATAATGGATAACGAGCCGTATTTGTTGTTTTTCTATTCCTTGAAGATCCCCCCGATCCATAAATCATACATTTATTTCCTTGGGGAAAAAAATATTATCGGACACGTGTCCACCTATATGTAACTTGTACGTGTTAAAAAGTCATAAATAATTTCACCTAATAATTTGAATCTTCCGAATTGATCCAAACGTCATTTGTTTTTTTTTTAATTAATTTACAGACGCACATCCTGTTGATGGATGCCTTTCTCCAGAACAACAGGCTGGACCATGTCTCCAGGGTGATGGCATCTCATCCATCCTACCTGGAACATTTCCTTAGGACGCAACACTTCATACTCCGTGGCGACGGACCTTTGCCCTACGACTATCGGCATCTTATCGCCATTATGGTAAGTCCTTTCGAGCGATAGTAGGGATTTGAGTTTTTGAATCAATTTTTTTTTTTTATATTTTGATAGGGACAATTTTTTTGCCAATTACACTTGGGGAATTATGTGCCGGGACACTTGTTGACTCTAGTTTCGGGAGTGACTCGGGAGAAGAGTCTGGAGGATGTTTTTCTCTTACGCTTCTGGATCCTGCAGATTGTTAGACTCGCGGGGTCAAAGGTTATCTGTATGTTGTATTCACCGGAGGTCACGTGCGCTTCTGTAGTCTTTCTTTTGGCTCTTTTAATTAATCGCTCGGAATCGTTATCAGTCATGCGAGTCATTTTATCGAATTTATGGTCACACCTTTTATAGGCTGTTTTTTTTTTTGTTTTTACGATATTTCGGAAATATATTTTCAGCAATCAGCTTCGGTGCTCCTTGGTCCAGGCTCGATGTCAATAACGTCGAAATGGACTCTTAATCATTTATCTCGGTACTGCTTACTTGGTTACGAAATTTTCATAGTTCGGTATTAACTGGCGGAATTGACCGTAAAAGAAAATGTTCCGTAAGGCGCCGGGAGCCCGCTCTTGACTTTTCTCACGTATCTCTGTAATTTCGGCTATTGGTCTGTTGTCACGAGATATTATCGACCTGGATCCTTCCACTTGGCGCCGCCGTTGACAGCGTTGCGCAATTCACGAAAAAGTCCGTATTACGTAGCACAGTCCGTTCCCTATCTAATCGCATTGGCTCTTTCGGCAGCGTGCACCAGGCTTTAGGTCAAACTTTCTGGCACGAGTGTACCGCACGGATACAGTCATTCACTCGTTCAATCTGCCCTCCCTGTCGATCGACTTTAGATCCTTATATAAATCAGGGTCAAAGTTGAACTGCTGGTAAATTTAGCACGACCCCTGCGCGTACAATCGTACTTGCACGCGTCAGCCTAAGTGAGACTATTTGAGGCTATTGACGGAATTGATGATTCATCGGAATATGTCGATCTGCTGATAGCGAGATAGAGGAATGTATTTTTATTTGGATTTCTTTTTTGTTTCCTTTAATCTTTCGCCTACTCCTAATCCAGGATCTAGATCAATCTTGACGCGGATCGTGATCGCGAGATCTAGGCCTGACTCGGATGTCGTCAGCATCCAACCGCAATCGTGTACATGTATATCTTATCGATCGAGGAGTGGAAAATTATTATTGTCTTTGGCCGAACGAAAGATTCCGAGGTCCCTGATTGGCAGGTCTCTGGTGAATTTCTTTGGTGACTCCGTTTTTTTTTTCCTCTGGCGAATTTAGGTCTATCGAATGATCGATCCGGGTTAAGATAATCGAACTGGAACGAGATCGATCCCAGCGTTGGATCGCTTTTGAAAAAATTACATCCATGTTGGGGTAGATCGCGCAGCTCTCGATCCACGCAATTTCGAATAGGAGTTTGTGGATTCTGTTGGAAGGTTTTTTTTTTTTTTTTTTCGTCACCGTGTATAGCGCTCGTTAAAAATTTATATGTAATTTCGTTACAATCGCGCGTTTCAGGCCGCTGGGAGACATCAGTGCAGCTACCTTATTAATCTGCAGAAGGGCGAATTCCTCCTTCAGGGCGGAGATTCCTCTTGGCTTCAGGGTCTCAGGTCGATTCCCGGAAAGCTGCAGGATCTTTATGAGATCAATAAGATCCTCGCCCACAGGCCCTGGCTTCTCAATAAAACGCACATCGAGGTAAGCGGCACTCGTCGTTATATACTGCCTGTCATTGCCGAGACAATGAAACCGGATAGATCGTATTCGTGACGAAGGAGAAATGAAATTAACAATGGAACCTGTGATTATTTCAGAAGCTGACGAAGGGCGCGGACAGCTGGTCCCTCGCCGAGGTCGTCCACGCTATCGTCCTCTTGGCCCACTTTCATTCCCTGTCGTCCTTCGTCTTTTCCTGCGGTATCAACGAGGAACTCGACAATGTCAGCGGCCATCATTACATAGAGAACGCCAAGGACAATAGCAATAACAAGCAACCTGCCAAAGACATGCTTACCAGCAGTCCTAAGAAAATGCAAAACGGTGGCGGCAAGACTGGCACGTGTCTCTGTTTTTTCATCATCTTACGAGTCATTGACGTTTATGGCAATAACGAGTTCCTCTTATTCACAGACAACAACCCGTCGCCACCGTCCTCACCGAGTATAGTCGGCGAGCAGGAGGTAGGCGTCGAGACGCTAATGGAGCGCATGAAGCGACTCTCCGAGAAGTCGGAATCCTATAAAATAACGCAGGAGGAACTCTCGAAACGCTTTGAGACCGTCGAGAGCCAGTCGGCTGAATTGGCCGCAGCACCCCAGAGGAGTTCGATCCTGGATTCGGATATCGGCCATTTTATAGAGGATCCGACCTTTATTTATCAAGACTTTGCTAAGGTGGGTTTTTGTTAAAAAGTCTTTTTTACTTTAATTCCGTAATCGGTACTAGGACAATTTGGACTGATCTTGCTGGTGGCTAATCTCGTGCTTTGGTTTTTTTTTTTTTTTTCACCTTTCAGAGAGGTCAGCTTAACGACATACCCACGTTTCGCGTTCAGGATTACTCCTGGGACGATCACGGTTACTCCCTGGTGAATCGACTTTATAACGACGTAGGAAATCTTTTGGATGATAAATTTAAGACGGCCTACAACCTCACGTACTACACCATGGGCACGCACAACAAGGTCGACACGTCCCGCTTCCGACGCGCCATCTGGAATTACATTCAATGTATGTTTGGCATCAGACACGACGACTATGACTATAACGAGGTGAATCAACTCCTGGAACGTAGCCTGAAAACTTTCATCAAGAGTGCCGTGTGCTATCCGGAACGCGTCACCAAGAGGGACTACGACCGAGTCATGAAGGAATTCAAGCACAGTGAAAAGGTAAGTCAGGGACTTTGAAAATACGGGGGGAAAAGGGGACAGGACTTTTCACTTTGAAATATTTATATTAACATTCACGTTTCTTCTAGGTCCACGTAAATCTTATGATTCTGGAAGCTCGCATGCAGGCTGAACTTCTTTACGCTCTTCGCGCCGTCATGCGATACATGACCTAAGCTTTCGGAGTCATAGTTCGATCGACATAAGTCAAGACAAGTCATTTTTCTCAATCCTTTCCTTGCATACTTGTGCCCACGGTCTCGTAGTCCGGGACGACTTCGCCAACCTGGCACGTTTGTTGGTGCAGAGTGGCAGTCCTGGATACTCTACACGTATACACGTATTACACTGAACGGAAGTAGAGGCAGAGCAAAAAGTCGGCGACAGAGTTCAGTGGGATACCTCTCGAGCGTTTTATCATCATCCTCACCTTCAGGAAGATTCACCTCGTCGTCGTCGTCGTCGGTTTCTTCTGCATTGTGAACTCTACGTCTGACTTGGCTATTTCAGGAGGACGAGTGATTAAGAGTGATATTTACAAGTGGATAGTAAATATTGAAAAAAAAAAAAAAAAAAAAAAAAAAAAAAAAAAGCCAAAAATGTGTACCAGGCTACAGAAAAAAAAAAAAAAAAAAAAAAATAATAAAGAAGAATGCCAAAATCCATTATGGTTCCTGTCGAAATCACCGTAGGACAGCACGCTGTGTACAAGCGAAATCTTTTGAAAATTCAGGTACCTGTTATCGCGTGAATTGGTAATTGATTACGTTTTATGGTTTGGATTGCAAGTCTCCTGGTGAGACCTTCAGTGGGTAACTAGTGAGATATAAATCATTTCATGAAGAAGAACAAAGGAGATTCCAAGAACGAGTAAGACGCTTCTAAGTGACGAACAAAATGGGAAGAGCTACTATTGGG